TAATAATAATAATAATAATAGTAATAATAATAATAGATAGCATTTGTAGAGCGCAAATTCCCACTCAACAGCATGCTCTAGGCAATCTTTATTATTCGTAGTCTTTACAATCTCTATATTATTTAGATTACTCTAAAATTATGTGCTCTGAACTGAATGCACCTCTTAGTAGAGCACAAGACTATAATAATGTATTGTTATATAAAATCATAATAATGTCATTATGCTGTTGCCCTCATTTCATGTACTTGGATAGTAGTGACCACGATGGATAATTTCCTGCTTTTGATAAACCTGTTTTGTCAATTTATATTTATTTATTTATTTATTCATTTATATATTTGGGGTTTTTTGTTTGTTTGTTGATATATTTATTTATTTATTTATTTATTCATCTATTTGTCTATTTTTCAATTTTATTTATTCATTTATTTATTCCCTGGTTTATTTTTTTATCAATTATTTACTTATTAATGTTTTTAAAATTCATTGGGCTTTCATCTCTACGTTAAAAATCATGTCATACTCTTTTCTGGAAAGTGATCATTTCTTGTCAACTGTTAGGGAAAGGTGTACCTAGCACTGATGCATAGTGTTTCATGACTTTACGTGAACAGGGTTTCTCTGACATTTGCGTTCTGTTTGTTGTTTAGACATATTACAATAATATTATATCAAATTATAGTGATATTCTCTTATAAGTCACAGCAAGGCCAATAGTTTCTAGATGCCTTGCACTTTGTTATGTATGTTTTTCACAACAAAGAACAATATGGTACTAAATATTATATTATTATGATTGCTTGTACACGTATATTCTCCGCTCTTTCTCTCTCTCTCTCTCTCTCTCTCTCTCTCTCTCTCTCTCTCTCTCTCTCTCTCTCTCTCTCTCTCTCTCTCTCTCTTTCTCCTTCCTTCTCCTCTCTCTCTCTCTCTCTCTCTCTCTCTTTCTCTCTCTCTCTCTCTCCCCTCTCTCTCTCACAGAGAGAGAGAGGGAGAGAGGGGGGAGAGAGAGAGAGAGAGAGAGAAAGAGCAGAAAGAGATCAACAAGTGCACAATACAGCCTAGGCATAAAAAGCATAAATATTTTTTAATGAATATTTTTGTTTTTCTTCTTTCTTTTTTTTTCTTTTTTAAAATTTGTTTTTGTGTGTCTGAAATCAAATTTTGAATGACTCAAATGATTAAGGTTGTGAAATAAACATCACCACTTACAGTTTTTGGATCACTATTTGTTTTTTATTATATCCATCACATTTTCTTCTCGTGAACCTGTCAGATCCATAATTCAGATCCACAGGTCTTAATCCTTCGAGCCTAGACGGTCAGAGAACAGGCCGCCTTATCGGAAGTAAGTCACGAGGAGATAGAGGCCCAACGCAGGGAACGGGTAGTGTAGAAGTGAGAGGATGAGAGAGCACCACGTCGTGTGCTTGATTAAACAAGTGTCCAAAATTACGGCATTTATGGTGTATTATTTCTTTAAGGAAATTACTACTAGTAATATTGTGTTATGCTTAAGAAAAAATCAAAACAGTAAAAAGGGAAATGGTTTCGATGATGATGATGATGATGATGATGATGATGATGATGATGATGATGATGATGA